TGCAGTTATAAGCTTCAGAATTGGGGAAACAAAAACCTGCCTACTTTGTAATGGATGGGTATAATGCCTCAAGGAAAAGTCTGGCACATAGAAACCTTTCTGCTCTTAATCTACCTTGAAGATTATATCCTCTTTTGTCCCTTAACTTGCCTTGTTACTTTTCTACCAACCTGTTATTCTTTAGATCTCTGTTGCTTAAATTTCTACAGTGACCCCAACGTTCTTGTATAACTTATTTGTATTTGCCACTACTATTGTACAGTTCCATAGCCTGACTAATTTATAGACAAGTAGCTGAGCATGGTGGCTTAAACCTGTAATTCCAGCACTTTGGGAGGCCGAGGTGGGCAGATCACCTGAGGTCAAGAGTTTGAGACCAGCCTGGCCCAACATGGTGAAACTAAAAATACAAAAATTAGTTGGACGTGATGATGTGTGCCTGTAATCCCAGATACTTGGGAGGCTGAGGTAGGAGAATCACTTGAACCCAGGAGGCAGAGGTTGCAGTGAGCTAAGATCATGCCACCAAACTTCAGCCTGGGAGACAGAGCAATATTCCATCTGTATGTATATGGAAGGGTTTAGAGAATTGCCTTGTTAATAGACAAGTTATTTTTAATTTTCTCTAAATCCTTCTATGTATTTTGAGGAAATTAACAAATCCATACAACAAGCACTTAAGAAAGAGGATTATTTATGATTCTAAATAAGATACTTCTACAGGCTAAGCCACTCTAAATATGACTTAGAGTACATGTGATGTTAATCATTCCTTTTGGCATTTTGATTGAGCATTGTCCTTCTTATCCTGTTTTACAAGAAAGAGCTGGAGGAATAGGGTTGGATCTTAGGTATCATCCAGATAGCATGAAGATATCACTGTCTGCAGCAGCTTCCAAACCTTCTTTTAGTACTTCTCAGCTTCCAGCTTTCCTACCTTAGAGAAGGTCTAGCTTTTTATTGGTTCTTCACCCATAGCTTATTCTATCACAATATCTGTTACTGGCTTATTTTCTTTCTTCAACCCAGTGAGAAGACAGAGCATTTAACCGTTGTGGGTTTAATAGCTTTGGGGGAAGAATTTAATTAAATCTTTCTTATCTCTAGGGCATGTTGGCCAAAACTGCTTAAACTTCTGTTTAATGATACACGTAAAACCAAAACATACTCATTATCTATTGCTGGTATTAGTAATATTAATAATAATGGTAGGTAACATTTATTTTCTTACTATATGTTAGACACTGTTCTAACCTCATTTTGTGCCATAACTTAATTAACTCCATTATAAAATAGGTACCACTGTTAGCATAATTTGCAGATAAGAGACTGTAGGACAGAGAGGTTTAAGCAGGTTTGACAAAGTCAAACTAATTAGAAAGTGCTACAGCCCAGATTCAAACCTAGTCAGATTGGCTTTAGAATCTGCGCTCCTAACCATTTATTTCATATGGCTTCTAATAGACACGTTTAGTGTGCCTTTTTTCTTTTGAATGAAAATTATCTTAGTACACAGGCTAATATTTGTTTTACCTTTATGTCTACTAATTCTAGATACTTCATTGGAATTTTAAGTAATCTAAATCTAGCAAGATAAAATAGACATATTAAAATTACTTGATATAGGTAATAGAACAAGCTTTATTGGAAAGGTTTTAGCAGAGGATAAACCAGTTCATTTTGAAAGCTTTTTAGCTCCCTGTGCCGGTGTTAATTTTGTCATCACTTTGTAAGATACACTGATCTTCCTGATAACAGCTGTGGATTAGGAAATTCCTCCCACATTGTCTTTTACCTTTTTTTGACTGCATTTGTTTTTATAAATAAACATAGTTCTCCATCTAAAATTCATCTAATTTTGTTAAGTTCAACAAACCCCTGCTACATGCCAAACATTTTACTAGGGTCTGAGGCAGGAGAAGGCATACTGTCACCATCTTGAGACTTACCGTCTAGACCTAGCAAATGCTACCTGCCCTTCTCGTCTATAAAGCCTTCTTAACTAACCCCATACCAATAAAAAATGAATAATTTCTTCTTTGACACTCTTCTCAGTTTGTTCAAGCACTTTATATATATTTTGATAGTTGTTATATTTCTGTATCTCTGGTAAAATTGTGAGAACATATTATGTACTGTAGTCTGCACCTTGTAGAGATGATGAGTCTGATAATGCATCTAAACACATATTCATACAAAACAATTTATAAGTACTATAATTAAGGCATAAAAATAAAAATACTATGGAAACACAAAAGAAAATTGTTATTGTGAGATTTAGAAAATCTTGATGGAAAAATATTATATGATCTGGGCATTCCTTGAAATAGATAGAGAGAAGGACAGCCTATTTCAACTAGTAGGAATGACAAAAGCAAAGACACAGGAGCCACAATAGTGTAAGGTGTTAGAGGAATGGCAAATAGTTTGTGTGGTGAAATTAGGGTGCTTGGATGAGGGGTACGGTAGTCAATAAAGTTGATAAGATAGTTTGGGATCAGGTGGTCTTGCCAAGAAATTTAGACTTTATTCTATCATCATCCTACAGGAAGGTTTATTCGGTAGCAGGATGGAAGATTATATTTAAAATGAAAAAGAAATTAAATATAGAAATCAGTCAGGAAGCAAAGCTGTTGTCTCCGCCCATACCACCTTGAACGTACCCAATCTTGCTGATCTTAGAAGTTAATCAGTGCGGGGTCCGATTAGTCAGTTTTTGGGTGAGAAGAAGCAAAGCCATCTTACATCTTAATCATGGCTTGAGTAACACAGGTTTGAACTAATGCAGCAGCAGCAAAAATATAAAAAGAAAGGATTAATATTTGAAATTTTTTTTTTTTAAATTTGAGACGGAGTTTCACTCTTGTTACCCAGGCTGGAGTGCAATGGCGTGATCTCGGCTCACCGCAACCTCCGCCTCCTGGGCTCAGGCAATTCTTCTGCCTCAGCCTCCTAAGTAGCTGGGATTACAGGCACGCGCTACCACGCCCAGCTGGTTTTTTGTATTTTTAGTAGATACGGGGTTTCACCATGTTGACCAGGATGGTCTCGATCTCTCGACCTCGTGATCCACCCGCCTCGGCCTCCCAAAGTGCTGGGATTACAGGCTTGAGCCACCGCGCCTGGCTATTTGAAATATTTTTAAGGAAGATCTGAGGGGAAGTACTTGGTAACTAATTGAATGTGAAATGAGAAAGTCAAACATAGTATGAAAATTCTGAGCCTTCTTGACCACTAGCTCCGAAGTCTTACACTAACTTTTTCCAGTAACACAGACCTCTTAATTTATGCAATCTTTTACGGAGTGTCTAGGTATATTTTCATCTTTCTAAACATCCTTTAAGTCAAATAGCACAGACTTAAAAAAAAAATTTTTATGGATGGGGAAACTGAATTACATAGTCATGACTTGCTCAAGTTCATGTTGTTATTAAGTGGCAGCACTAGGATTCAAACTCAATTCTTTTACTTTTAGTTGGTTTTGCCATGCTGAGTTTGAGGTGCTAGCAGAATGGGAAAATGTCTAGTAGATATTAGCACTTTCAAAAAAAAGAAATGATAAGTAGAGAAAATCATGGATTGGATTTTTGAAACCACATGCATTTAGGGGATTAGTTGGATGAGAAGAGTCAAGGAAGAAGACTGGAAATGAACAAACAAAATAAGAGAATCAGTAGTGTAAAATGTTGCTAGAAAGTGAGAGCGAACAAAAGAATGAAGAAACTGATTGAAGAAAGGAATATGTGTTATGGAAAGAGAAGAGATGAATAAGGAAAAGTCATTTAATTTGACAAGAGATTATTAAAAGCTATTTATTTATTTATTTATTTATTTATTAATAGAGATAGGGTTTCACCATATTGGTCAGGCTGGTCTCAAACTCTGAACCTCAGGTGATTGGTCTGCCTCAGCCTCCCAAAGTGCTGGGATTACAGGCGTGAGCCACCATGCCCAACTATTAAAAGCTTTTGAGGAGAGTTTTTTTGGGATAAGGCTGAGGGCCAGATTACACTGGATTGAAGAAAATATACGAACTAAAAAAGAAGAGGCAGTGAGTTTGGACTACTCTTAAGAGATTTGTTTAAGAAAATTGTAAGTTGTGGCAATACCAAGATAAAGCCTTAGAAATGTTTTTTTTTTTTTTTTTTTTTTTTTTTTTTTTTTTTTTTGGAGAAGGAGTTTCGCTCTTGTTACCCAGGCTGGAGTGCAATGGCGCGATCTCGGCTCACCACAACCTCCGCCTCCTGGGTTCAGGCAATTCTCCTGCCTCAGCCTCCTGAGTAGCTGGGATTACAGGCACGCGCCACCATGCCCAGCTAATTTTTTGTGTTTTTAGTAGAGACGGGGTTTCACCATGTTGACCAGGATGGTCTCGATCTCTTGACCTCGTGATCCACCCGCCTCGGCCTCCCAAAGTGCTGGGATTACAGGCTTGAGCCACCGAGCCCGGCAGAAATGTTTTTTAAAAATCAAAGTTTAACATAACTTTTCCCTTCTTTCCCTCCTTCTTTTATATGTTTCTTTTCTTAAGGATAACAGATGGGTGTATCTTATGTCTTTCCTCCTGACATTACCCTGAGTAGAACTCCATACTGTTCTAGGGTATGTGATCTGTCTCTTTTTTTTTTTCCAAGATGGGGTTTCACCACGATGGCCAGGCTGGTCTTGAGCTCCTGACCTCAGGTTATCCACCTACCTCGGCCTCCCAAAATGCTAGGATTACAGGCGTGAGCCACTGCGCCCAGCCAATCTATCTGTTATCCCTAGGTCTCTGCTAATACCTCATGCAAGACTGGGCTCAAGAAGCATTAGGATATCAACAGAGTCAAATACAACATTATTTGTATTTCAGACAGTATCAAAGAGTTTTAAATGGAAACACCATTGTTTAAAAAAGATATATTTTTGGCTTCATTACTTTCTAAAATCTTAATTTAAAACAATTTTAATGTAATATATTTACATTATACCTTTGTGTTTCTGCTTATTTTTATTTAAAGGATGGAATGGCCCTATGCATGTTCATGCAAAACACCTTAACAAGATTTATGAGGTAATGCATCCTTCTTTTTAAAATGTGATTTCTGAAAGACCAAAAGCAGCTTTTTACTATTCCATTATTTGTACTAGTTAAGAAATAATAGCTGATTTTCAAATTACATTTATTTTAATGATTCACTATTTTTTGTGTGTGCCATAGAGAATAATCGTTTAATTACATGTTAATGAAGTATATACATATATATTTTTAAAATAAGAGAAATGAAAGTTAAGAAGAATTTAAGACATACTCTCTTTCTCTAAAGAGCTTATATTACTAGCTATATTCAGGAAGAGATACTGGGAAAGTTAAATACTGATATTAGAGCATACTGATCAAGAGATGACACATAAAGTTTACCTAATAATCCAAATTAGTAGAATCTGTAGTGAAGTGGTCTGTATCCAGAGGAGAGGAGAAAAAGAACTATGGATTGGAAAGTTTTTATAGCTTTCTAAGAAAGATGAATTCACTTTGCACCTAGATAAAGAAGCAAAGAAGAAAAGTTCTTCTTGGCCTATCAAGGTATGTTTGAGATTACAAACTGTGACATGTTTTGGCTGATTAGCTTTCTAATTTCATATTCTGAATGTGAACACATTTAAAATTATGAGAACTAAGGAAGTTCTTATTTAAGCAAGGTTATTAATTGGACACCACTGTATTTTTGGGACTCATTGTATCTGAGATTCTAGAGAGAGTAATAGAATCATAACATTACTATTCTAAAATACTGTCTTCATTGTCTTAACCCCTGTTCACCACCCATTTCCTAGTGCATTTGACTTTTTCTTAGATAAATCTGAAATATTATTATTTTTTAAATAAACCTTTCTACTTGGGAGCAGTGTATATTAGGAAATTTTCAGTTACTTTAGACCTACGTCTTTGCATTGTAGGTTAGAGTCTACAAAAATTCCATACTTGCAAAACATTTTTGATTTACTTTGTATCACACACCCCTGCAAAGTGGGTCTTTGCAAACAGGAAAGGTAAAAGATTTATTTTTACTGGAAAATTTTGCCTTCATATAGGATTAGTTTATGGATTATTTCAGGCAATAATGAGTACATTTTTGAAGGAACCTTCATAACACAGTTTTGAAGCTCTATCTTCTGCGACACGTTTCCAACCTTTGGATATAGCCTTAATTTTCCAACTTTTAACCTGATACCAATAAAAATGGACAAAGGCAATATCACATGGAATTATTCTGAAGAGCCAGCTGCTGAGAAGTTCCAGGAGCTGTAAATTAGACAAAAGTATCCATTTATTTGGAAGAAAGTTACAATATGGCTATAGCTTAAAAATATATAATGATTCAGGGAGGTATTTTGATAAACTTACAGGCATTTATTGTGAACTATTGTATCTTTAGTATTAATTACACTTTTTCTTCTCAGGATGTACAGGTTCAAGCTTCTCCTATTCTTTGTGTGTTTGTTTTTATGAAGACGGTGCAATAATTTTGTTTCCACTGCATTTAAAATTTTTTTAAGAATGACATTTGTAAATGAATATTGAAATTAAAAATAGTAACATCAGTTTTTCCTTCAATATACAGACTTCCTTTAATAAGTGTTGCGCTGGTTCAAGGTTGGGCATTAGGTGGAGGAGCAGAATTTACTACAGCATGTGATTTCAGGTAGGATGAAAATTGCATTAATTTCTTGCACAAATATAGTTAACATGCTCAAATTTATTTTTGCCTTAATATCAATATTTTACATATTCTTAGATAAACCTATTTTCTGAATATTTTCTTTTTGTCAGTCATTAAAGTAGATAATTTTAATTTAATATAACTGCATGATTACTTCATTACTATGCATTTCAAAAAATTAACAAAACACATAGTTTGAGATTTTGAATAGAGCAAATCCAGTTAGCAAAACTTGTGGAAGGAAAGCTAAGGGAATATATGAAACTTTAAAATCCATTCTGAATTACACAAACAAAGGTAAGCAACTTTAAAAAAGAAAAATAAAATGAAGAAAAAGAGACTGCTTTAGCTGTCTTCTCACCAATAAAAAGAGATTTTCTGAGATCCCTTTGTCTTCTTTCTGCTGTGATTTACAGCAACTTTGTGGGTCTTTTGGGAAGACTAGTGAATAAAGATAGAGAAAATTCTTTGGCACCAATAGCTCTTCAGTCCCTATAATTATTTTCAGTATTTGATAAGTATATATAATATAGAAATGACATTTTGTAGAATCTAATGCTTTAGATATGCTTTAAACTGCTTTCTCAGTACCATCCCCAAGCCCTACTAATGCAGCTAGCTATAAGGAGACCAATACAATGCTCTGTAAGTTATCTGTGCAGGCTCACACACTGGATCCTCTTTATAATGCAAAAGGCAGTATATGTTGCATAATTAGAGGTAAAATGGCAGAACAGTAAAGAGCCTGAGCACTGACATCAAGTAGACCTAGGCTGAATCCCAGTTTGCCGCTTTTATCTGTTTGACTTTGAGCAAATATTTTACCTTTCTTCATCTTAGTTTCTTTATAAAATGGAAGTATCTCCCTTAAATATTTATAAATAGATTTAAATAAGACAGTGAATATATAGGTTTTAGCATAATGTTTAACCTAAAGTTTACATTAATATTCACAAAATACTGTGGCTTAGAGTTTTAATATTACCTTATACAGCTATCTCTTACCAATGCCAATATGGTAACATTCTGGCATACTCTGAAACTCACTGTCTTTTCATTTGGGATGTTTTCCAACGTTTGGGCTAACCCTGGCCTTGCCATTTTTAAAACAATTAATTATACACTTGATCCTGGCTAAGAAAAATATGGGAACATACATAAGAGAAGACTTGTAGTAAACTTTTCATCTCACTTTCAGACACTGAAGAGAAAGTCGTTCTGTGCTGGCATGTAGTGCTCTAGATGTTTTAAAACATCATGTTGTACATTTAAAAAATTTTTAGGCCGGGCATGGTGGCTCATGCCTGCAATCCCAGCATTTTGGGAGGCTGAAACGGGCAGATCACCTGACATCAGGAGTTTGAGACCAGCCTGGCCAACATGGTGAAACCCCATCTCTACTAAAAATATATCCCCCAGGCGTGGTGGCATGTACCTGTAGTCCCACAACTTGGGAGGCTGAGGCGGAAGATTTTTTGAACCTGGGAGCTGGAGTTTGAAGTGAGCCAAGATCATGCCATTGTACTCCAGCCTGGGTGACAGAGTGAGACTCTGCCTCAGAAAAAGAAAACAAAATAAAATAAAAATAAAAATTGGTTGAGCTACAAACTATATACAATAAAATGAATCAATTTTAGTAGTATAGTATAAATGGATTTTGATGAGTATATACACCCCTGTAACCACCTCCACAATCAAGATTGAGAACATTTTTTAACCCCTATCTATATGTTTTTGTATGCCTCTTCCCAGTCAGTTCCCACCTCTAGTTCCGGGTAAACATTGATCACTTTCTCACTTAAAAGTAGATTTTTAAAAAAGAATTTTACGTGAATACATTCATAGAGTAGGTACTTTTAAATGTCTGCCTTCTTTAATTCAGTGTAATTTTATTGAGAGTGATCCATGTTGTACCATGTTTCAATACTTTATACCTTTTTAATGTTAGAAAGTAGTTTAGTGTGTGGATATTCCAGTTTGTATCTGAGATTTATCAGTGCTTTTGCGTTTTTTAGTGGTTTGTTCATCTTACTGCTCAGTAGTATTGCTTTATATGCTTATATAGCACAATAAGTGTCATGCATTAATGAGCACATGAGCTATTTCTGATTTTGGCCTATTCTAAATAAAGCTGTTGTGAACATTCATGTATAAATATTTGTGTGGGCATATGTTATCATATCTTTTGAGTGAAAATCTAAGAGTGGAATTGCTGGGGTGATATGGTAAGTGTATGTTTAACTCAAGAAGCAAATAAGTTGGTTTCTTAAATTTTCTAGGTTGATTGTATAATTTTTATTTTTATAGGCAATGGAAGAAAGTTCCAGCTGTACCACATGAGTACCAACATGTGGTGCTGTCAGGCTGTTTAGATTTTCTCATTTGATGGGTGGGAACCATTGTGAGAGTCATTGTGATTTCAGATTTGAATTTCCACAGTGACTGGTGTTGAGCATCTTGTGTTTATTGACCATTAGATATATCTTCTTCTTTGTTGTTTCAAATCCTTTGACTCTTTAAAAAATTGGTTTATTATTATTGAACTATAGGAGTTCTTTATATATTTTGTATATAATTCCTTCATATTACTCAAATACGCTGTTTGACTAATATGCTAAATACTATTCACAGCCTTAGGAGAAAGAATACCTTCTCCCAGCCTGTGACTTGTTTTTTTATTAGTAGTATCTTTGGAAGAGCAGAAATTTGAATTTTAAAAATGTTTTCAGCTTTTCATTTGTACTAACTACACACTTAGGAAAAACTTGCAGAAATCATACCAATAACTCCCATATACCATTCAGTTTCCCCAAATGTTAGTATTATATGTAGCCACAGTGCAATTACACAACTGGGAAATTAACATTGATATGTATTTGTAACTAATCTATAGACCTCATTCAATTATTTTCAGTTATCATATGAATTCTTTTTTTTCTGGTTCAGGATGTAATCAAGATCCATTTTTTTCTGATATAAATATAGCCATCCCAGTTTTCTTATAGTTAACATTTCTGTGGTATATCCTTTTCTGTCCTTTTATTTTTAACTTGTCTGCCTTGTTCAAAGTAGTTTGTAGTAGACAACATATAGTAGGGTTTTGCTTTTTCATTCAGAATGACAATTTCTGCCTTTTAGTTGGAGCGTTTGCTCCGTATATGTAGTCAGTGTTGTATTGAAGTAATTGGGTTTAAATCTGCCATCTTTGTACAGGTATAACTCAGAGATATTACTGGTTTGGTTTCCTCCAGACCACCCCTATAAAGTTAATATCGCAATAAAGTGAATCACATGAATTTTTTGGTTTCCCAGTGCATACATATTAAAGTTATGTGTGGCCAGTCTCGGTGGCTCAAGCCTGTAATCCCAGCACTCTGGGAGGCTGAGGCGGGCGGATCATGAGATCAAGAGATTGAGACCATCCTGGCCAACATGGTGAAACCCCATCTCTACTAAAAATACAAAAATTAGCTGGGTATGGTGGTGCGCACCTGTAGTCCCAGCTACTCAGGAGGCTGAGGCAGGAGAGAATTGCCTGAACATGGGAGGTGGAGGTTGCAGTGAGTTGAGATCGCACCACTGCATTCCAGCCTAGCGCCTGGTGACAAAGCAAGACTCTCTCAAAAAAAAAAAACTTATGTGTACACTGTATTGTAGTGTGTTAAGTATGCAATAGCATTATGTTTGAAAAAAAAAAAAAACAATGCATCTATCTTAATTTAAAAATAATTTATTGTTGAGAAATGCTACCAGTCATCTGAGCCTTCACTGAGATGTAATCTGGTGGTGGATCCTGCCTCAGTTTTTATGGCTGCTGACTGATCAGAGTGGTGCTTCCTGATGATTGAGCTATATGTGGCAGTTACTTAAACTAAGGCAACAATGAAGTTTGTTAACTGATTGACTCTTCCTTTCACAAAAGATTTCTGTGTAGCATGCAGTGCTGTTGGATAGCATTTTACCCATAGTAGAACTTCTTTCTGGCATTGATTTATCAGATAAATTTCTGTAATATTCTTAGTCCTTTGCTGTCATTTCAACAGTGTTCACAGCATCTTCACCAAAAATAGATTCCATCTCAAGAAACCACATTTTTTTGATCATCTGTAAGAAGCCACTCCTTATCCATTCAGGTTTTATCTCGAGATTGTAGCAATTTGGTGGCATCTTCAGGCTCTACTAATCTTCCCACTTGTCTTGCTACTTCCATTGTAGCAAGAGCAGCCGCAGTAAACGGATCTCTTGAACACTGAAGGCAGGAGGAAGAGGGGTTATTTGTTATTATTATTATATTATTATATTTATTATTATTACTATTTTATTTCCTGCAGCCGCAGGAAATGGATCTCTTGAACACCGAATGCAGGAGGAAGAAGGGTTATTTGTTATTTGTTATTATTGTTATTATTATGACCAGTAGCCTGCGGTATAATTTGTCCAAAACCTAGCTCATCTAACAAAGGGAGGTTTTGCCTTTATATAGGCTTATACTTTAGATACTACAGGTGAAAAAATTTTAGGTTCACATATGAAAAGGGTTTCAGTTTACAGATTCAGTAATTACATATGAAAAGGTTTCTGTTTGATCTTGTTTTAAGTAAAAATAGTGCCTTCCGGAGAGTTTTCCCAAGACCTAGCCTGCCACCTACAGGAAGGTGAAACCGGAGGCACCAGTCGGTCAGCCTTTTCTTCTATTGAAATGCAGTGTGATAGTCAAAGGGGAAGTTGATCTGAGATGCCTGGGTCTTCCTCTTCACCATCACATCTGCAGTTACTTCTTCCATTGAAGTCTTGAGCTCCTTAAATTTTCATGAGGTTCGAAAGTCAATTATAAGGGTTGAAAACAACTTTAAAAAAAAATGTTTAACTTTTGTGTATACATCGTAGGTGTATATATTTATGGGGTACATGAGATGTTTTGCTACAGATAAGCAATATGTAATAATGACTTTATGGAAAACGGGGTTTCCATCCTCTCAAAC